TTTATCATTGCACAGGATCTGGTAAGTGGCAGAGCTGGGATCTTTAAAAGACTTTTTTACTGCTATCTCTTTAATACAAAGCTTATTTTTGGACCACCCCATTAAGCTCAGACAACACTTTTTGATGAATAATATATTCCACTGGCAATATTAATGAACAAGTCTATGCACTTGGTTTCAATACAGCTGTGTATTTCTTCCACCAACAATACACCATTTCCCCCAAAAAATTCACTGAAAGGATTTTTCAACCAAACAAACTTTTTGAGGAAGGAATAAAATACATAAAACATAGCCATACGTGGATAAAGTGAACTGTAGTGGAATTCTGGTAAACAGAGACATAGGATTCTGCGAGGCAATCTTTGAAAGTGAGAGCATGATAGAATAGAAGCAAAATAAATATTGGTTGAGTATTTGTTGAATGAACAAATACAATACATGAGTGCATTAGGTATAAAATTTCTTTAGAGACTTTTTAAGTGGGTCAAAAGTTTTAGTTTTATTACCCTGTGGTGATTTGAGCCATGGTTCTAAAGCATAACCGCAATGTTTCTCTTCTGTTCAGGATCTGCGAGACCGCCTGTGGGATATTTGTGACACCCAGAAGGAAGATGCAGAGCAGGAGCGGCTGGATATCATCAATGAGAGCTGGTTACAGGACTCTCTAGGAATAATAATTAACCATTTCTTTTCACTGATGCAGGTAAGAGCAGCTGGTCACAATGACACAGACTCTTCCCTTCATAGCCACGTCCGTCATGTGACAACTCCTTTGGGAATGTTCGGGGTCTCTCAGGGCTCATTTTACTCATGGCACTCTGCTTGGTGTGAGCTCCATCCATCTTGCCAAAGAAGTTAGCTGAAATAAAACATTTTGTTCTGGGCCAAACAAGCACCCAAATCAGAAGTATCCCAAGCAGCTACTCACCAGCCTTGTTTGCAGGTGGCCTAGATATGTAGAGAGTGACAGCAAAGAGAGTGTCTACAACTGAGTTGTTTACCTTGTCACCCTCTCAAAGCAGACACCCTAAGTGGCCAGCCAGACAAAGTCCAGGAAAGCAGCCCTGCCACAAAGCATGGGCAAGATCAGACACAGCAAGCATTTGATTCCTAAAAGTAAAAAGTTTGCCAATACTGGACTGGAAAAACGGCCCATTCATCAGAATTCACAGCCTATTAAATAAAAAACTGCACAGGGCAAGATAAGATGACAGACATTGATTTCATTCTGATACTATTGCCAGCAATGGGGGAGAGAGCACAGACCAGGTCTTGGATTCCCAGCTGAGCTCTGCCAAGACAAAGGCAGGAGAGTTTTTAAGAGCTGGGGTGGTGTGAAGGGTGGAGGGTCATAGGCCATCTGTTTGCTAATTGGCCCTACCCAAAGGAAAAGTCAGCTTTCTACTATCTTCATCGTGGGAGATAGTTTTCTAACTTGGGGCCAGGCACCCACTGAAGTTAGGCTCCTACCCTTACCTGAGCTGGGAGATGGGCACTATCTTTCCTGATGATTAATTACATTCTAAAGAGATAGTTCTCAGGGACTTGAGAAAGACACTCCTGGCTGTAAAACTGGTAAGAGGCTTTTTAAAAAGATTTACATCTCAAAGGGACAGAGAAAGGATTTGCAATGACAAGCTTTCTTAAAGTAAATGCTCTAACAAAAGAGAGGTCAGTGGCGTAGAGTCAGGAAGAAGCCTGTTTAAAATTTAGTCAAACTTAGGGGAATATTAAGGCTGGTTTGGTCAACCTGTGTCTACATGAATATTTTTTCCTAAGAGAATAGCAGTGAAAATAAAGAGTGGAAAAGTGTACATTTCTAGTCTTCAATTGATTAACTTACATGAAGAGATACTACAGAAAATGAAAATATTTATCTGCAATTCCTTAGAGCTAGCACACAGTGGGTGTTCAATGGAATGTTTGTTCGACAAATGACCAATGAGTGCTCGTACTTCCAACCTACAAAGGGACAATTCATGGTGCAGGGACAGGCTGGAGCAGAAGCTTGAAATACCAGCAGAAACTTGAGGAGCAGGAGCAGCCCCTCAGGAGGGAGGTTTAAAGAAGTCAAGATCCCAGGGCAAGGAAGCCCAGTGCAGGAATGTTAGGAATCTGCATTGCAAAGAGAAGATGGAGTTAGAAAGAGTTTATCTAAAACAGAGGACAAAGCTGGGCCATAAACAGGACAACAGACAGATCCACAGGGCATGGTTGTGCAAAGGATCAAAGTGAGACACCCAAGCTGCCTAAACCAGTCTGGGTAGCATCCCCAGGACACTGGTCTGGGCAAGCAGAAGTCAAATATTGCAAACAGCTGTGTCAAAAACTTATGACAGAAGTCACTGAAATCCAATAATGAAGGCACAGAGAATAGAGAAATTTTGTGAATCATTCTCAATTTAGAACAATGCATGCCTTTTATGGAAATAGTATGACCGAAGGCTCTCATCCTGAGAAACTGAACCGACGTCTAACACCAACTATTAATAAAAGTGAGGAAGATAAATGAAAGGGCAGCAAATAAAAGCTACCATTTGTTAAGTTCTTACCATGTATGTGCCAGGCACTATTCTTAAGACTTTCATACAGAATATAATAAACCTTCACAACAACCCTATCCTGTAAATTCTATTACTTTCATTTCACGGATGAGGAAACTGAGGCAAACACAGGTGAAACAATTTGCCTACAACGAGTAAGTGGAAAAGCTAGGATTTGGACTGAATCGAATTCCAAAACCAGTACTGTAGTACCCCCTTATCCGTGGTTTTGCTTTCTGCAATTTCAGTTACCCACAGTCAATCGCAGTCTGAAAATATTAAATGGAAAATTCCAGGAATAAACAATTCATAAGTTTAAAATTGTGCATCGTTCTGAGTAGGGTGATGAAATCTCACACCATCTGTCTCACTCAGGACGTGAATCATCCTTTGTTCCAGAATATCCACACTGCATACACTACCTGCCCATCAGTCACTTAGTAGCCAGCTTGGTTATCAGATTGAAAAAAACATATTATATGTAGGGTTGAGGACTATCCAAGGTTTCAGGCATCCACAGGAGACTTTGCAACATACCCCTCAAGGATAAGGGGGGACTACTGTACTCCTAACTACTGATTTATTGTTCAAATAGTTGAAAGCTTGCCACGGAGAACAGAAGAGAGCCTTATTCTACACTCATTAATAGAATCCTATAAAAACCAAAGGTGAAAATTACCGGAGAGTAGGTTTCAGTTTGGTCTATGAAGAAAGAGCCTACTTAGAACTGCCCATCAAATACAAACTTTTGAGGCAATGAGCTTTTACCTAGGAAGCCCAAAAGCAGAAGCTGTCACATGTTTGTGGAGGACTAGGAGAAAGTACCCTCAAGAAAGTCTTCAAGGGCCTGTAATATTGGGTAATAGACAGTTAGATAAATATTTCCCAAAGTTAGATAAGTATTTTCCATGGAAAACTAGTCCTGCAAGGTGTTTCACAAAACAAGGACTCTGTGATCAAATGACTTTGGGATGTGCTGCATATTCTACCTTTTTCTCTCCCTGGGAGATTGACAAGCATATTGACGTACATAGGCATCAAGATGCTCTACAGTAAAGAAATCCTTTTGACATGTTAACCCAGCATTTCTGAAACTATCTGACCTTGGAAAGTTTTTTGTTGTTATTGTTTCATCCCCAAGATAGTACTCATTAACAACCTACAGGACAAGTTCTCTATGCAATACATTTTAGTAAATGCTATGCTAGATTATTTCTCAGATTCCTTTTAAATCTCAGATTCTGTGACAATTAACAAGAACCTTAAGAAAGCATTATTTACTAGTTATCACGAATGTGAGAAGGATCTTGATTAATTCTGCTTTTATGGAAATCCTAGATATAGTATGACATCTTATTCAGATTTAGCTATATAGTTAATCAAATTATGCCCCTTGAAATAAATTAATCTTTTATACAAAATAATTGTGTAATAAGATAAGCCTAAGGCACAGATACCAGCACTGTCCCAAATACTAATTGTATAAAATAGGCTCTGCTAAACCTAATCGTTATTCAAATTCAGTTCTCTAAATTAAGGAGGAAATAATTTCCTGATTTCTAAATTTATTTCCCAAATAATATAATGCTATGTTTTGATGACTAATAATTTTTATATCATCCCCACACTTTTATTCAATTCTCCAAAGTTATTTGTCATCTTCCAATTTGTACATTTTGGGTTTACACTTGCATCCTATTCATTGTAAATGTGGTACTGTGCAAGTTTTCATGAGTATAACTTGTAAGACTCATTTTATCTTTACTGTTTTACCAAAACTAAGCATGACGGGTGCAAATGCTTACTGTTAAACTGTGAGATTAGTTCATACATGACTATTTTAAAACTAAATTTGGTTTCTTGGCAAGGAAAGAGAAAAATATTTAGTTTTTCTAGTCATTTCAAAATGCTAGTTTTAAAAATTATGTAAATATATATTTATGCTTAAAATCCAAGGAGATTATTTAAAACGTGTTCTTTAAACAATATGGGAATGGTAATTTTATTTTTTAACAGATTCAAATTAACCAAATGAATTTCTTTCTCAGTCATTTAGCTAGAAAGGTTCAATAATGCAGAGAACAGTTTTTAGGAGCAATTCAGCTTACTCTTTTTTTATATCAAAAACAAACTTATTGAAACTCTTCTTGTCTTTTGTTGTAGACTACAACAAAATAATAATAAAAGCAGATATTTCTTTGTTCTAAACTGTGAATATGGCAGTGAAAAGACTACTTGATATTTTATGAAATAAATGGCAGCATAATTGATAAACTTAGGAATTTCTTCATAAATGTCTTTGGGTTATGTTTATAAAGCTAAAAGCTTTGAATACTAGGTCACTTTTGCTCTTTTTAAAAAAAGACATTTCCTGTAATTAATGAGGTATAATGGAATATTCTGCATGAGAACTTCAATATTTAGACCCTCAGGGTCTAGTTTAGGCAGCCCCACTAACTAAAACAAAGTCTAGAAGTCACGTTTGCACTACCAAAGAGAGGCGCAGATTTATACCATATGGTCTACTATCCAATGGGGGAATGGGTTAGAGGACTTATGGTCTATATGTGTGGTGTTGGTACTGTGCACAATTTCACTACACATACGTACCACAAAGAGAAATGACCTGTGCTGACAGGGAGTCATGACTTGAACAATTGATGCTCACCTTGCCACCAGCTCCTCTGTGCTGCTCCATTTCCCTCAAGGTACTTCCTGGCAATGCCAGCAAAAGGGTTTAGCTGTGAGCACAAGAGGAATTATCTCCCTTCTGTACATCTTGAGCAAGAAGGGAAACCGTAGAAAGTGAACTATTCCTTATTGCTTTTTGTTACCGTTAGTCATTTCCCTGCAACAAGATAAAATTGCCCTACAGGACCAGAACCTAGTGTTGTATTTTTGTATTTGTATTTTTTTTTTTTTATTTCAGCAAATTATGGGTGTACATATGTTCAGGCTACGTGCTTTGCCCTTGGTTCCCCCCCCCCACCGAAGTCCGTGCTCCAAACATGTCCATCCTTCGGGTAGTGCGCACTGCACTCCCTGTGTATACAAATACCCGTCCCCTCCTCCCTCCTCCCCGCTCCTCCCGCCGCCCTTCCCGTGGTACAGATGATTAGGTTAGGTGTGTTGCCCTTGGTTCCCCCCCCCACCGAAGTCCGTGTTTCAAATATGTCCATCCTTCGGGTAGTGCGCATTGCCCTCCTTGTGTATACACATACCCCTCCCCTCCTCCCTCTTCCCCCCTCCACCCACCACCCTCCCCCTTCCCCAGCATCCAATAGATGTTGTTCTGATATGTGCATTTATGTGTTGATTAGTTAATACCAATTTGATGGTGAGTACAAATGGGTCCCGTTCTGCTGCTCTTGTGGTGCTCCACTTTGGATAATGGCCTTAAGTTTAATCCAGGAAAGTGTAAGAGGTGCTAGATCACTGTCATTTCTTATGATTGAGTAATATTCCATTGTGAACATATACCAAATTTTGATAATCCACTCATGGATTGACGGGCACTTGGGTTGTTTCCACATTCTTGCAATAGTGAATTTGTATTTTGTATTTGTATGTATAGTATTTTTCGTTATCTCACAAATCAGCTAACATGATACCTATGACAAAGAAAACTCTCAAATGTTTGTTACTGTATTGGTTGATTGAATCTAGGATACAGGATATTTTGACATTCCTAACGTCAAAATAATGAATAATATACACTACTTCAAACATCATACATACTGTAACCTTTTGTCATAATATCAAGAGGCATGGAACTGTCATCTTGTTAAGTGAACTTGTGCTCAATAAGAAAGTGCAAAGTCCCTAGTTATCTTTAATTTTGATGAAAATCTTAAATATACACTTATAGCCAATACTCTTTCTTGATTTCCAGAAAATTCTTCCAATCTAAATGTTTTAAAAGTAATGCTTATAGAGTCCTCTATGGGAAATATGTACAGATCAGCTTGTTCTTTCTTGGATATTAATATTCATATTTGCTACTAAAGGCAGAATTGAACCGTTTCCAAGATACAAAGAGACTCCTTCAAGATTATTACCGGGGAATGGAATGCAAAATCCCAATAGATGACAGTAAGAGATTTACTCGAATCCCATTGGTCCAGCTGGATAGTAAAGACATTTTGGAAAACCAATTTAGGTAAGGCAGATTATCATATTCCACTGTAATTGTTTTGAACATAAAGCTTGGCGATTTTAAATTAATTACTGTTAATAAAAATCATGCTCATTTATCTGCAAATCCAAAATAGCTCTAAAAACTGAATACTTTTTTTTCTAACTTCAGTGTGTCATTGACTTAAGACTATTAATATATATAATTTATCCTATTTATAGGGAATATTTACTAATTTTGCTATAGAGATATAATGCATTTTATTATGGAGTCTCTCCATAGACTCTGCTGATGGTATCAGGGAATATATGATATTTATATAAATTCTGAATTCTGAAACACTTTTGGCCCTAAGGATTTCTGGTAAGGCATTATCAACCTCTACCACTTTTCTGAAAGGACTCAAGCAGTTCTGTGTATGTGTATGTGTGTGTATGTGTATTACTATATTATATAAATGAAAATGGAAGGGGGTCTGAGTCTTCTTTTACAAGTGAGGAAATTGAGAAACGGTAAAGGCTCAGTAGTATGTGATTATGACCTCATAAGACTAACTGAAAGAATTACTAACAGTCTAATATCACATATTAGCCAGCAAAAAGAAAAAAAAATGAATCTAGTAGTAGGGTAGAAGACAAATTATATTTTTAGCCAAACAAATCCTGTGCAACATAAAAGTTTATAAATAATTTTTTTAATAGATCCAATGGTTGGGGACAGGGCAAGGACAAGATCCCCAAACCTGAGAATCTATGAACAAATAGAAAAATGTCTTCAAGCAATGGGAGTTAGGAGTGGTGGTAATTCCTGTGATGTGATTGCCAACTATAAAACATTAAAAGAGAGCTAAAAATAAGAATTAAAATAAAGCAATTAAAAATAAAATTCAAAATCCTTAAAAATTAAATTAGTTGATTAAAAAATAAATTAATAAAATATAATGAAGAATTAAAACAACAGTTTCTCATGACTAGTAAGCAGGCCATGAGAAACAAAATACTACAGATATAAAAAGGAGAAAAAGGAAGAAGATAGATTTGTAAAGTAATATACAGGCACTGAATGTTAAATTTAGATCTCCAGGGAGATGAGCTATGTATTTTATATTCAAAGTAGGGTACATTTTTTTTTTATAAACGTGCTCAGTCAATGTAGTTATCAGGAGTTGCACAAACTAAATGTACAGTAGTACATATATTTTGAATTGAAACAGATCTGGTTTGAATCCTGGGTCTGTCACTTGTTAGCTATATGTAAATAAATTAAGACAATGTATATGTCTGGTCAAGTCTCTCCAACTCTCTTAAGCCTCGGTTTACTTATCTGTAAGGTAGGGCTGTTGTGAAGTTTACAGAAAGTAAAATCTTCAGAGCATGTGATGCCATGTCTTAGAATCGAAAGACTTGAGATCAAGTCCCCATAACTTCCAATAAACGGTGACTATTACTTACATGCAATATTTTAATTGTGAGAATTGCGTGTTACTGCTTTATTTCTTTTGATCCAAAAAGGACTTGAAGTGGCCTGAACACTATAAGTTATGCAGTGATCCAAGGCCCATTTCTTTTCTCTCCAGGCTTCTAATTATATAGAACCACCATATCCCTGTCAGGCCCCTGTGTACACAGGAGTACACAAAAGGAAGTGCGTGTCTCCTCTTCTTGATACAAATACAAGAGAAACATTCAGCAAGCTGCTGAAAGAAAACTTTGAAATTAAAAACAATAAGAATTTCGAAAGACAATATGAACCATCAGAACTATCAAGAGAGGCCAAGTTTCAATGTCTAGAGGGGCAGTGCATTCTGTTCTTAGCACAAAATAGTAAATCAGGCATAATGGGGAAGCTATTAATGTTGGTTAGTAGAATGAAACCTGCAAAAGAACAGCCAGTTCTTATTTTCTGCAAAACAACTCTGCACCAATCTCAACCTCAAATCACTGCTGTGGTTATCTTCTGGAACTATCTGTCACTTAATATATCAACCAACCAACCAATCAACCACAGTCTCTGTAACATGTATGGGGGAAACAATCACAGTGTTAAGAATTTTCACATATTTTGTCTACTTTATTCCTCCCCAAAATTCTATAACAATATTTTTATAGTAATATTATTCATAATTGCAATAATCAGTAATTAATTGATAAATAGTTATAGTAATAGTAATTTTATTATATTTATATTATTTCAGGAGGAACTGAACCTCAGAAAGTCAAGGGACAAGCTCAAGTTCATATCTACTAATAGTGACAAAGCTACCTAGACCAGAGTGTTTCCCAATAAATAAATTCTAAACCCAAATTCTTTTTCTGAATGGTATGCCACCACTGTTGCCCTCAAAAGCAAGATGTTGGGAAACACATGTTGTACTGTATTAAACATCTAGCAATGATCACACAAACTTTGCCTTAACTTATTGGACACATGAATCATAGTTGAACTGGAGCAACTGTGATTTAGCTTTATTTGATTATTAAAATGTAATTTAATTCGTGGGTAGGTGAGTAGTGGACCCTTAATACATTGCCTTTTCAGACACAGTACACTGTCAAAATTTTAAGCGCTGTTAGAATCAGAGTGCCAAGTTCAAGAAACCTTGACCGATGCTTCAAAATAAGACCGAGCTAATTGTTTGCTGGAGTTCAGAATCGTCTTTCAGAATCACCGCTCTGTGACTCCAGCAACTTGAGTCTTCAGAACCAAATGCTTGTTCTTATTACTGATCCTGATTTTCCTCCTCCAGTTTCAACAAGGGCATCCTTGGAGCTTCTCTCTCCTCATTCCTTCCCCAAGCTGAGAGCCCTTTGCACTTCCTGTCACCAAAGGTGCATCTCAGTCACAATGAGCATTCTACCTTGTAGATCTCTTTCTGCTTCTGTTAACCTTTGAGATCTTGAGATCCTTCAGGGATAGGGTATTCCCAGGGACAGTTCTGAAATTTCTACATAGGAGTAGCAATATGGGAGGGGGGAGAGAGAGCTTGAGTCTGTGTTCCCACAGCACTTTACCAAACAAAGAGAAAACCTTCCCCTTCCACAGTAACGGAAGGGAGGACTGCTAGAGGGCTACCCTGCCCACCACCAAAACCTTGCTGCCTCCATGTGGTAGCCCCTTTCAGACTTTACATTAATCACGCCCTACTTTCAACTGTCCACTTCAGGATGCCAAATAGTACTAGCAGAGAATACTTAAAGAAGTTTTGTTTGGTTTGTTTTTTCATGACTGACTTTTTGACTTATCACTCATTGAAAGTGTATGCCCTGGAAAAATTTCAAAATTGCATTTCTTCATAATCTCCATTGTTTAATCCTCCGCTTTATAATTGCTGAGGATTAAGCCTGAAAATTATATTTTGTTGTTGTTTGAGTTTCCTCTTATTAACAAGATTTCTAGACCACAAAAAACTGAATTCAGTCTTTTATAATCTTTTCCCCATTAAAAGAATTATCTCAGGAAAATTTTGAAAATTGAGATCAAAGCAAGACAACAAAATGTCTTGTGAAGTAATATGGTCGCAAAAATAGAATTCTGTTAAATATAATCTTTATATTTCTTTTGTTTGTTTTTCAAAGAATTCCTCTAGTTCCTCGAGTATCCATTTCTCCAGAAGCAGTTATGTCTAAACCCAAAACAAAAACAATACTGAAGGGCAAGATTGATTATTCACTAGAAAACCTGGAGTTAAACTTTGAGGCAGATGAGAAGTTGGTGACGGACACCTGGCAGCAGGCTTCTTTAGCAATTTCTCACATGGTAAGCAGTGCTTATTACATTTTCTTTTAGTAATACCCATTCATTAAGTACCAAGGTTGCTATTATGCTATAAGTAGAAAATTTATACAGTGTTCTCAAGCACTGTATAATGTATGCCTTCAAGACTTTTTTTCTGAAAGAAATAGAAAGAGAATTGATTCAGTTAATGAATATTTGGGGTCATTGAAGGAGTGAACCAACACTTAGATTACTTTCTGTGCTGGACCAGGGTCCTAACTGCAGGCCCTAAAGAGCCAGTCAAGGAACGTTAATGAAGCAGGTCAGGTATAAGACAATAGGGAGGTGGGGACTGTGGCCAAGTAGAAGTCACACACCTGTCTGCAGAGATGTGCTACTCTACTCTGGCCAACTTGGCCATTGAAGAATGAGGCCCAGCATGGCCAGATTTTCCAATTTTCCAAGAAAAGCCAGAAATTCTGATTTTTATGTGAAATTACTGATTTTAACATGTAAGAAATAAAATAAAAAATTCTTAAAAATACTCTAGAGAGCCAAGCATATCTGGCCTTAGGCATCTAGTTTGCAACCCCTCCGCTAGGCATCTTTCCTAAGTCACCTATGAGTGACTTAGGTAAGTATTATTATCCTCTTTACAGTGGAGAATTAAGGTTCTGAAAGACTAAGGAACTTGGTCTCCTAGGTATCCCAAGGTTTCCTAGCAGGTAAGCATTGAAATGAAATTTGAATGTAGGTCTGTATGACTTCAAAGTTCACATTCTTTCCACCGAAATTGAAAGCGAAAGGAAAAGCATACAGATAAATTTAATCCAAGCAGAGGTGTCACACCATACAGAAGACATACACAGAGTTTAACTCAGATCGACTGCTGTTCCTTCATTCACCAGGTCCTGGGTCCACCAAGATGGTTTCTCTTTTCATTCTGTGCCAAGCCTTCTTGGAACTTTCCCAAAATATCCCATTCAAACAGAAAGCAGTGTCCACTTTCCAAGAGATTTAGTCAAAGAGGTAGAAAAGGAGCTTGCATTATAAATCTCACAGCAAACAAAATTTCTGATTGGGCATATTCCAAGTCCTTTCTTGGCCTGTCTGCTCTCCAGCTTTCTTTTTCTCTGAGCTTCTCACACAGCAGCCTCTGTGTTTTCTTTCTTTCCCCCTTTCTTTCTTTTGTTCTCTTCACTTCTTTCTTTCCTCCCTCTCAGAAGTTATTATAAGCTCCTGTCACTGTCTCGCTTCTTTTAAAAAATATTTAGTGTGGATTTTGACACACATAAGAAAAATACATGATTTATAATTGCATGGCTTAATGAACCCACCTAAAGTAAATACTCATGACACCACTCAATAGGGCAGAATTGGAACAAGGGCTGCACCTGCCTAGTCTTGCTGTGCCCCTTCCCAATCCTACCCACCTTCATACCCACTAAAAGGGAACGCCATCTTGCCTTTTTACAAATCATTTCCTTGATGTTCTTAAGAGTTTTATTATCCAAATCAGTATCTCTAAAGACTGTAGCTTTGCCTGCTTTTGAGATTTAAATAAATGGACTAATGTCTTTTGTCTTTTTTATGTCTTCTTTTGCTCAATATTCTTTGCGAGATTCATCCGATATTGTTCATTTTTGTTGCTGTATTGTGTTGTGTTACGTGAATGTATCACAGTTTATTTTACTTGCCTGCTGCTGATATACGTTTGGGTTTCTAGTTTGGTGCCATTATGGATACTGCTGCTATAAACATGCTTATACATATTCACTGGTACCCATGTGTACACATAACTGTGGAGTATTTATCTAGCAGTAGGTGCTGTCTTCAACACTGGTAGACAATACTATACGTAATACCTCTACATTCATAAGTAATGATAAATCCTTTCCCTATTTCACTGCACTGTTATCTTTGTCATAAATTAGATGACCACATATGTGTGTAAGTTGCTTTGCTCTATTTGTCTATTCTTGTGCCGATACCACAGCAATATCATACCACTTTTTGTTATCTGGATGAGCAAATCTTCCCACTTTGTCATCTGCCAAGAGCATTTTGGATTTTCTTGGCTCTTTACCATTCCATAATTTTCGAATCAACTTGTCAAGGTTCACAAAAATGTTGGCTGTGGATTTTTTAAGGTAGCATTTATCAGATTATAAACATTCCTTTTCATATACAGTTTATTATGAAAGTTTTTCATGAGTTGTATTATCAAATGCTTTTTCTACACCTATTAATATTATCACATAATTTTTTCTCCATTTTTTGTTAATGTGAAAAATTATATTGATCAATTTTCTAGTGTTAAATTTATATCCCATTTCTGGAATAAGTAATGTAATGAAGCATCATCCTTCTTACATATTGCTGGATGTGTTTCGTTAATAATTTGGTTAGCATTTTTTAATCTTTGTTCATGTGTAAGAGAACTCTGTAATTTTTCTCTCTCTTACAACCCTTGTTAGCTTTTACATCCAGATAATACTAGCCTCTAATACGGATCTAGATATGTTTCCTCTCTTTCTATTCTTTGGAAAATTTTGTGAAAGTTGGGAATATTCTTCTTGAAAGGTTTAGTAGCATTCCTAAGATGCCATCTAGGACATTTGTAAGAAAAGTTTTTGTTGCCCTCCTCAACCCAAGGATTTATTTTCTTTAACAGGTGTTCGATACTTTCTTTGTTCTGTTTCTTCTGTTTTTGTTTCTTCTTCAGTTGGTTTTGGTAAATTTTATTTTGCTAAGAATTTTTCCATTTCTAAATGTTTAAACTTATTGGCACGAAGTTGTTTAAAATATGCTCTTATGTTTGTGTTAACATTTGCATTATTTATTTGATAATAAATAATTTTGCCAATTTTGATCTTGATGATTTGTGCTTTTCTTCTTTCTTGATCAGCTTAGTCAGGTTATCAATTATATCTTTCCAAAGAACTAATATTTAACTTAATTGATTCATTTTACTGTATTTCTTTTCCTTTTCTTAATTTTATTTTTTCTCTTACTATTTTCTTTGGGTTTATTTTGCCATTCTTTAAGGCTTTGAGATGTTCCTTAATTTTCAGTCTTTATTTCTAATATATGCCTTTACTACCATAAGTTCTCTCTGTGACTTGCTTTTTCTTCCTCTAAAAGTTTTTGATATAACGTTATTTTTGTTGTGATCTAATTCAAAGCATTTTAGAAATATAGTTTTAATTTTAAAAATAGTATGTTGCTTTCTAGTTAATTAGATTTTACTCAGAGAATACATTCTCATAAATCTCTTTTTGGAGATTTGCTTTATGGCCAATCTGTGAATAATATGTTTTTCCTTGAAATATATATATTCACTTAATTATTTAATATACATATTGTACATTGTTTAATAGATTAATATACATATATCCTGCTGTTTACATATAAACATTCAAATGTACTTATTTTATTTATTACATATATTTAAATATATAGTATAACTATATTATTGCTCAAATCTTCTTTATCCTCATTATACTAGTTTTCTCCTTCTTTGAATTATCAAGAGAATTATGATGAAATCACCTGTAGTTTTGTCACTTTTGCTTTATATATATTTAAGGCAATCACATTGAGAATATACAAATTTTAAATTAAGTCTTTCTGATGAACATTTTCTTATTATGAAGTTATCTTTATCTATAATATTTTTGTTTTATAAATTATACTTTTAGATATTGTTTACATGTCGTATCTTTTTTCATCATTTTGTTTTCATCCTTTTTGTGGCTTTCCTTTCTTGCTTTTTTCCCCTCTGTAGGTTTGGATATAATGCATCCTGCTACTATTCTATTAGTGGTTACCCTAGGAATTACACCAGGAATTATTAACTCATCAAAATTAAACTGTTATTTAGTCAATAATTCATGATGTTATTCCTAGGGTAACCACTAAGTGAATTAGTGTGTGTTACTCCAAAGCTACCATGGGGGAAAAGTTAAATAATTTAAAATATTCAATCCAAAAGAAGAAAAGAAAGACAGAAAAATATTCAGGACAAACAATACAAATATAACTTAGCAAGATGGTAGATTTATAGCCCAAATATATCTACAGTTACATTAAGTTAAAAAGGGCAAAATCATCTACTAAAAGAAAATGATCGTTAGATTTTTTAAAAAAGAGGCATATGATGCTCATAAGGATACAGAAATGATTTTTCCTCATTGACCCAGGAGGAGAATGGGGTAGTGTGATGACCTCCACTTGGCCACCATAGACTCTTATTCCCTTGACCTAGAGGCCCAGAGGCTCATCCCTCCATATCCTGGCCACTCATGAAACCTTCTCGTAAACTGACTGAATATTGCTTACTACATTTTCTATGGGCATTACCAATTTCAATGCCTTGGCTAGTGCCATTTTTCTTCCTGAAATATGCTCCTCCTTTCTCCTATCTGTTTAAATCCTATCCTTTCTTTGTCTTTAGAACTAGTTTTTACCTTAATTCCTCACCAGGTAATTGCCTGTTTCCTAAAACTCTAGCCTTCTGTGATTATATGCTCTTCCTATCCTTTTAGCAGTTACTGTCTCTCCCACTCATTTGGCTCTTAGTTAGTATCTAGGTTATTTTTTGTAATTTTTATCTTGTTAGTTTTTTGCCTGAATACTTAACTGGATTCTAAAACTTTTTATATGCTGTACACTTAGCATCATGCCCACATCTAACGTAACACTAAGCCCTCAATACAATCTTAAGATGCTGATCATGCTGTGTTGATGATGTTGACATTAATATTAATGATGATGGTAGTTAAAATGATGATCACTGCAAAGACCACAATAAGTACCAAGCACCAGAGAATGGGAAACTGGATTTAGATTCTCTAGAAAATAATATAGATTATTCTTATTGTTAAAACTGAGCTACATAAACATAATCAACAAGTCTTATGAATCCTTTTAAAATTATCTGGAGAAATAACACTGAAAAATATATTCTTAGAAAAAGAAGATCATATAATACAAAGAGCACTAGTTACACCTCTTGATTAAGCTGTGTGATTTTAGGAAAATCACTTTATCTCTCTGAGTCTTTAATTTCTTATCTGTAACATAGATACTCTAATTATCATTCTTTCATTGAATGGTTGAAAAGATACAATGAAATAATACACATTAAAGTGTTTTAGCAATTGTAAATTTTAACTTATCATTGTGTTGAGAAATTTATTTAAAATTGTACCCTTTTCCTTGTGGACTTTTAAAAACCTCCTACAGAGCATAGGAAGAAGGATTGTTAAGTTATTAATATTACTAATAATTATACTTGAATCCTGCTTTTACATGTTTCTAATATACTTTTATTATTTTGATGTCACATGACCTTAAGGGACATTTGAGTTCCAAATGAAACAGGTGTGATTCAGTAAATTATTGTGGGGCAAACAGTACCAGCTAAGATTAGTGCAATTGAAATGAGAGTGCTTTTATGCAGTATTTTCTACACAGCAGTTTTACCAGGAGCTATCCATTAAGTAGGCTATGTTAATTTTTGGCCAAACTTTCTTCTAATTAGCAAGTATGCTATGATTTCAAAGAAACAAGTGATATTTTTAATGCCCACAATGTCAGGGCATTATGTCTAAAGTTCTCTCCAACCTTCTAAGCTACATTGCTAAATGAATTGTAAATTATGTTAATTTTTGATAGAGACCCAGAGATCTTTGAGGAAAATGGACCAGAAAAATGCAAATAATTATTATATATAATTATGCAGATAATTATGATAATTATCATCATCATCAGAAGGTTGTTTACGAAGGAGAAAAATCCAATTTTGAAAGAAATTGCTAACTTACTGTGCTTTGCAGAAACAGATTAAAAAATGAATTGCTTGCAATTTGGTGGGGAATTTTAACAAGTCTGCTTTTAGCTTTACTGAGAATTTGCAAGTACAGAATATGGTATGAAATCCATTTTTATCAAAAGGGCATCTGATTAAAAAAAGAAAAGGAAAAACAAAAAACGGACTTGCTCTCTCAAACTTTTCTGTATCCCTCCAAGGTTCTGATGATATTGGAAAAGGTGTGGGTGCATTCTGTGGAATATGATTATTTTTAAAAGAAAGTCCACTGATTAATAAGCATTTACTGGGCATCTCCTTTGAGCATAACACAGATGCTCAAAGCTATGGAGAATACAAAGAAGTAGGACTGGCTTAGCTCTGAGGATCATTAAGGCCCATTTGGCGGCTGGGGTGAGACAACACTCATGGAACAGTTGGGAACACCTGCTACCCCATGCTGTCTCTGGGTATGAAGTGTGGCAGGAATGTGGAAAAGTCAGGAACTGCCTGGTCTGTCCCACCCGCAAGATTGTAAGAGTCTTTGAGAATAGAGACTGTGCCTTATTCGTCCTTCTGTTCACCTCCATTAATCTTTCTCTTTATCCTCCTATCCCCTCACCTCATTCTCCCCCGAAATTATATCAGGCTTGGACTCAGTAAGTGCTTGAATAAATACATAAGCCCTCAAGAACCCCCATTTTCTCTCCAGTTGCTATTCAAATTTTAAAGTTTTCAACCATATGTTGCTGCTGCTTCCACAGTGTTTTGTTTCTTCCTTTGGGATCCTCAGCTCTCATTTCTCAGGACTGAACTCATAAATGCCCTTTACCTCTCCTGGGCCAGCTGGGCTTATTTCAAAAGGTCCAGTGTTTCTAACTGCACGCACAACCTCAGTGGCACAAGCCCCAAGACAAGCGTATGTGCGTATATATGTGTGTGTGTGTGTGTGTGTGTGTGTGTGTATTCACATATATACACGTGAGGTACAATGTGATGTTTTGATATATGTGTACATTGTGGAATGATTAAATCAATCTAATTAACATATCCATCACCTTATTTACTTATCATTTTTTTGTGGTGAAAACATTTAAAATTTACTCTTTTAGCAATTTTGAAATGTACATTACATTATTATTAACTATAGTCACCATGCTATGCAATAGATCACCAGAACCTACTCTTCTCGTCTAACTGAAACTTAGTGCCCTTTGACCAACATCTCTCCTTTCCCATCCCACCCATTCCCCTGCCCTAGTCCCTGGTACCACCATTTTGCTCTCTACTTCTGTGAGTCCAACTTTTTTATATTCTATGTATAAGTGAGATCCTGCAGTGTTTGTCTTTCTGTGCCTGGCTTATTTCACTTAGCATAATGTCCCTGGGATTCAACCATGTTGTCGCAAGACCAGAATTTCTGCTGTCAGAAGTACAGAGCCAGCTTCAGAGGAGATGTGGCAGGATCCCAGCAGTTGCTGGCCCTCTTGGGTGGGGAAGGATGGAGCTTCTCCATTCACCAGCTAGTATGGGGTGACAAAACAACTCTCTCAAACCAGGACACTTGTGAGAGTACAAGGAGGGACTTGCTGGAATGCAGAGTAGCTGAAAGTCAGTTGAGGGGAAGAAGCTGAGAACTTTGAGGTGAGGCTATGGGACAGATCATCCTCATAGCCCCGAGTCTTCCTGGGATGATATCTAGTGTTTGAGCATAATGGAAGCCCAGGATTTTTGTCTATGATTCAATTAACATAGGCCACACATTCCCAAAAATGAGTTGGTGGGGAGAATGAAAATATCTTTCTCATCATATATATAAAGCACAGTTATATATACAGTACATAAACAGATACACTTCTGCAGTATTAAAATTTCATGAGAAGGGATGCAATTTAGGAGAAAATGTCAAAAAAACAAAGAACTCTGTAGGGGGTCAATTATGAAAAAAAAGGCTAAGAAACATCTATTGGATGTTGGG